AAGGTTTTGAGTGCTCGGTCACAAGGCGTTCACTTCTGAATGGGATTTATCAGGTCAACGAAATTCGACAGCTTGGTTTTCAGGTTCACACTTTACACATCTGACCCCAAATAATAGCGGCAGGGGGCGCAGACTTTGATAGAATTTAAGCTGATTTAGCATAGCCTAAAACTTGCGTCAAAATTTAGTAAAATTCACTGGACAAATAAAACTTTCACCGGGCGATATTCACCTTCTCAGTCCAGTGAGATGTGTCGGCAAATTTGGATCATCCTATGAAATGTTCCTGTTGGATAAAATGGCATCTATTTAACACAGAAGGTTTTTGGCGTTCTATTTCCCCTATGCAACATTCGTCATTTACAGGGCCACAGTGAACCGATTATAAGCTGTTAACCCAGTCCTTCTTGAGGTAAGCCAAAACATGCTATTGAACGTGGTGGTATGTCAAGAAACTATTGCAGAAGTAATATTGAGATTATTGCTGGTCTCACTCAAAATATCTCCCAGCTGAGAGACTGATTCGTTCGACAGTGATTTATAAACAATCAGGTGACAAGTTCAGTTTTGTCACCGAAATAGATGCAACCGTTTGCGAAGCCACCATGTTAAACCTGATAATTCTGAAAATAGGTCATGCCAGAGAAATGATTACCGAGGGATTTTACCAGGAAATTAGAGGTAACTCCTCGGTGGAGACCAAGAATACCGTCGTCTGCTTCTGCCAGTTATCCATCAACGCGTTTAACTGGCGACCTCCAAACCCTCTGTTCTTCGTTTAGGAACCTAACTGCCTCCCCCAGATACCTCCAAACCCGTCTGTAAATCATTGGCATGACTCTTGGAATCTGGTGAACTCGTCTGCCAACTACAGAAAACTACTGAAAACGCAAGTTAAAACTACTGGTATGTCATTCTCATCGCAGTTTATCATGATTTCGGAGGCGGTAATGTTTAAAACCTCCGAGAAACGCCGCTCATTTTCCACCTCCATATTAGGGGTGATATGCGCCGAGGCCTTGTAGAAGCAAACTCTTACAAACAAGCCGGTGGCATGCTGCACGGTCAAGGAACAACGATCCACGAACAACTTAGACCTCCTGAAACCGAACGAGAGCACAAATTAATTCGAAACGAACCAGAGTACTGCAGCCCAAAAGTGGCCAGTTTTTCCAGTGATGAACAACAATTAGACCACAGTGGATATTGATGACTAAGAATATTCTGACGACGTCGCGATACAAACAAACGGCGCTGATAGGTAATCCAGACGTTTTTAACATATAGCTACTAAAGTTTCACAACCCGGTCTGCAAGCAATACAAATTAAATGTTTGCAGAAAAAATGATTACCATGAACTTATTCCCATCTAACGGGTGCTTGGACCCAACTCTTTGAAACATTCTTAAGCTGTAAGAGGCGATAGATAGTTTAGCGGTTAGTCCCCAGA